TAAAAAAAAAAAATTAAAAGAAAAATAAAAACATATTATGTATATGTGCCCAAAGAGACAACAGTAACTGTAAAGCATAGGCAAATTGTTTAGGGGACAGTGAGTCTAAATTACTTACTGAAACAAACTAAAGCAGAAATAACGAGAATGCTGACACAATGCAAAAAACGTAACCAATGTCACTGAGCAACATATGTTGAAACTTACATGGGAGCATGTTTAGATGTATATATTTTCACCAAAAATTTATTTAAAATCCTTTTTAAATTTTCTTTATATCAAGCTCAAAGACAGACATTACTAATCTACGGTGTTAAAAATGAAAAGAGTGGTTATCTTTTAGGAGCAGGGATGTATTAGGAACTGTGAGAGATACAAGTGAAGCTTCAGGGATGCTAGTAATATCATTTACCTGAGTAACGGTTATATGGGGGCTGACTTCGTAATACTTCATTCACCTTAAATTTTCTATCCTTAAGATCTGTGCACTTTTCTACGTCTGCGATGCATATAGAAGTAAAATTTATTAAAAATTAATATATATTTTAGTTTATTGATCAAAGAACAAATGAAAAAGTAAACTAAAAACTGTACAACAAAAAGAAAGACTACATATTAATACTTGGGTTTTGCAGTTAAAGCAGTACTTACAGGGAAATGTACATTCTTAAGCGCATATACTAAAAAAGCTTTTATATTAATAAACTCATGTTCAACAAGTTGGAAAAATGAGTGTGATTGTTAGGGCTGTGTGTTAACTTGGCTGGGCCATGATTCTCAGTGGTCTGGCAGTTATGACGTGATCACCTCCATGATGAGATTTGATATAATATGATCACCTCCATGATGGGATCTGCTGTGAGTAGCCAATCAGTTGAAAGGGAGTTTCCTTAGGGTTGTGGCTTGCATCCAATATAGGTGGACTTTCTGGTAAGGCTTGTGGGCTTTGGCTCACTCTGGATCCTGCAGCTGGCTCCTGTTCGTCTGACCTCTGGTTCTTGGGACTTGAGCTAGCAGCTTACCTGCTGTCTTGTCTGCCAATCTTGGGATTCGTTGGTCTTAGCAGCCAGTGAGCCAGAGCCCTGATGTCTGAATTGCCCATCCTGGGTTCGCCAGCCCCTGAGGCTACTGAAACAGTAGAAGCCTCCGGCCTGACCCATGAACTTGGGATGTTTCAGCCTCTACAAGTGCGTGAGCCATGTCCTTAATATAAATGTCTCTCTATATGTATGTAGACACTTTACTGGTTTTGCTTCTCTAGAGAACCCAGCCTAAGACAATAAGCCTATAACCAAAGATTAAAGTAAAAATTAATGAAACTTAATTATAGAGAGCATCAAAGAAATCAAAAGCTGGTTCCTTAAAATGACTATTAAAACACATATCTGTGATGAAATTAGTCAAAAAAAAACCTGTTAGGAATAAACAAGTGCCATAACTAAAGATACACATTTTTAAAATGACAAAAGAATATTATGGACAAGTCTTAAAAAATCTTAACAGAATTACACAGAACATTAAAAGAATAACACTTTTATAACAACCAAGTGGGGCAGTATTAGAAAATGCAGAAGTGATGGTGCGGTGGTTAACAGCTCGGCTGCGAACAAAAAGGTCAGCAGTTTGAGTCTACCAGCCACTCCCTGGAAACTCTACGGGGCAGCTCTACTCTGCCCTATGTCGCTATGAGTCGGAATCGACTTGACGGCAATGGGTTTGAGTTATTTTAAAGAGAAAAGTTATATCATCATCCCCATAAAATATTAAAAAGTCATTTGAAAATATTAAACTCTCATTCACGACTCAATGGATACTTTGTGGACATGACAAAACGTTATCTACCTCAGTCCAAAGCCTGCACCATGCGAAATGAAGACACTCTCCCACTCAGGTTTAGTCTACCTTGTTCGTCTGTGTTCAAAAAGCGTTATCCTTTTACTTTTTACAGCTTAAAAAAGTAAATTAGATCCCTTCATGGCATGATACTAAAAAATAGATGGATTAAGGTACTAAATATTTTTTTAAAGTTGGATATTTTTAGACAAAATATAGGAAAATATCATTATGCCCCTGGGGTAAGGAAAGAATTTTAAAACAAGATTTAGAAAGCAGGAAACACAAAGGAATCGTATCACAATGTGAAACTTTCAGAAAGGATATCAGTAAGTTAAAAGACAAAGTGAAGACCAAGAGAAGACAATGAGCAACAAATATAACAAAGGATCGCCATCCAAAATACACACAGAATCCTTACAAAACTCAGAAGAAGAAAACCTGAAAGTCATATATTTATGAAAGTTTCACAACTTCAGTAATAATCATAAACAAGAAAATTAAGAGAGTAACGTTTTTCACTTATTAGCATGGAAATAATTTTTAGATCTAAAGAGGAAGAAGGAAAAGTAGTCTTCTAATAAATATGTATCTATAAAAATTCAAAATCCTCATATTCTATAACCCAAAAATATTAATCATAGGTAGATACTCTAGAGCAGTGATTTTTAAACTTAGCGAGCATCACGTGGAGGCCTTTTTAAAACAACTGTTGGGCTGCACCCCCAGAGTTTCTCTTCCAGTAGGCTTGGGAGAAGCCTGAGAATCTGCACTTCAAACAAGTTCCCAGATGACACTAATGCTGTTGGTCAAGGGGGTGCACTTTGAGAAGCACTGCTCTAGAGTCTAAAGATACACTTGCATATACGCACAGAGACAACATGACAAGGATGTTCGCAGCAGCATTATATATATTACTGAAAAACAGAAATTACCTAAGTACCTACCAGTAAAAAATAGACTACATAAAATACAGTTTTACCATACAATGGAATACTATATAGCCTTAAAAGGGATAAACTACATATGGATGGATCTCAAATTATTGATGAATTGGGAAAAAATGTATATGACATACAGGTAATCTCCAACTTATGACGGGGTTCCATTCCGACGACTCCATCATAAGTCAGTTCTGATGTAAGCCGAAGACCTCATTGTTTTTTCAGTTTTCATTAGTCTTGCCTTTCATTATCAGTATCTTTATAAATACAATCTTAATTTGTCTTTGGCAGTTGGAAACATTACATATACACTTACAGATATATTTCAACATTGTATGTAGTACATAATACTAATAATAAGATGTACCAAAAAAACAACAGACGGTCATAAATGTGGTTCACCATAACTCAAGTATGTCGTAAATCAGGGACTACCTTTATATAAAAACACTCAAAACACTATGCAGTATTGTTCAACTGTATGTTTTTTTCAATGTACGTACACAGGTAAAATGAAAAGACTAGTAAATGTAGGATTAAAATCTGGAACTAAACTATGGAGCAAGATGAGGAAGGCTCTAAGGAAGAGACATAGAAGCTAACAGAAGAGACTTTCCAGAAGATAGCAATGTAACGTAACATTTCAAAAGTGCCGTCTGACCCAATTTTGAGAACATGGCTAAAAACTTCTCAATTCTCCTTTGCAGGCAGTTTGCTCAGCCCACACCTCAACTAGTTCCCTTATCAGGCTCTAACATTCCTGGGCTACAATACAGAAGACCCTAGATGCTTAACTCCCAGGAGTGCCTCCTTCTCCTCTTGGCCTGCAGAATTATTCAAATCACCAAGGAGCCTGCAAAAACTAGCTAACCCCACTCTGCTTGCCGTACTTGAACTGCCCTCCTATGGCTCCACTTGCTCCTACCCTGTCCCTAGGTGCAATCCCCTGCCTAGTCCTGCACGGCAGCCTTGTCTCATCTGGAGCTACAAGTAAAAAAGTGTTCTGCCTCTCATATATCCTAGTATCATTGCGTTGAATCTACCAACCAAAAAACCTATAATCCTACCTAATATCTTACCATTATAAAACAAGCAATCAGTAGGGTAATTCAGCAGCTGTTCAAGGAAAGCAACTACAATGAAGTTATTGTAGCTTACCTGGACAGATTTCAAACAGTGGAGGGGAAGAACCAAGACAGTATTCTACGGGGTGACACGGACTGAGAAGCTCAGAAGCATTTACCAGAGAATGTAACTTTGAATTGTCTGCTGCATACCCTGTATAAATAGACTAGCTAAGACAAAGAGTTATGAAAAATTTTTCATTACAGGTATGCAGGCCACTCACTCCTCTAAACATTCTAAGCTTTACCCCAGGATTAAGCAACACCATCACAAAGCTGACTACTTAACCATATCTCAGACCTTTCCAGTCCCCTGGTGAACAGTTTGAGGAACACACGCACATTTGTTTCAGAGCTGTCACTATGTGTCCTTATGTTAAGACCAAAAAAGATCTCTTCCACGAAGTCTTTATGTCCTCAGAGGAATCAATCTGTTCAGTCTTATGATAAATGCAAATTTTACAAAATACTACATCTCCCTTTCTGCCATGGATGCTGGAAACATCAGAGAAATATCTGCAGCTTAACTTAGTAATTCTAAGATCATATGGTCAGTATACATTTTCTGTGACATTCGATTTTTATCTATTACTAATTTCTCATCTTAACATATGGACCGTTACAGATCTCACAAAGTACATGGTAAAATAAAGTGAATGCATAACGAACAGCTTACCTGGAATGTGTTCATTTTCTGCTGTTCTTGGAGAAATGTAGACAACTCTGTAGATACGGCTGGGTGGGAAAAAGAATGAGGTAATGAAAGATCTGGCATGCCTTTTAGCTCCTGGATTCTCCTGCACTAAAAACTCCCATATCCACCAAATAAAATGCTCCCTGTGGAAGAATGTCTTCTTGACCCTTGAGAAGGGGCAGGAAGACGTTGAAAGACCATTCCCCTAATGTAACTCTAATCATGTAACTCTCAGGCACAAAAGTTTTCACCGGGTGAATGTAAACACTTGCTTCCTAAGGATTTTTTTAAGTTTAAATCCCCCTTGGTGTTCACAAAAATTTTTAAAGGACAGAATTGGTTATACAAATAGCAATATACCTAATAAAGGAACACTAACTCTTCATGAAAACTGATATAAAAAGAAAAGCTTAGGGCTATGCTGTTTTATCGATTTTCTGACTAATCTTGATAACTCTGGTTAGTGATGCCACAGAAAGCTCTAAAAAGCAGTGCTTCAAAGAAAGGTCTATGTTTTAATTTATCTAATTTTGTTGCCGTCTCTTTTAAAGATCTTTTACAATAAACTTGCTTTGACTTAGTGTGGAAAAGTAGGCAATACTGACTTGGGAGTCAGGAGACCTGACTTGTAGTCTTTGCCACTAACAAACTGCAATCCTGAACAAGTCACTAAACCTTCAGACACAGATTTTTTTTCTTTTTTCTTTTAAACGAGACAGAAATAGGTTAACTCCTTAACTTCCTTCCTGAATGCTGGGGCAAGACCGGACAGGGGAATATCAGCATGTATCATGCAGTGATGGACACTACTGGAGAGCAGGGCAGAATCCAGAAACGATGAATGAAGAAGCATGGGAACGGACTCGGCCTAGAATGACAACTGACCCTACTGTGGCCGGGGAGCAAGCACTTCCCCCCTTTCAAGCACGCGCACAAAGAGCCCCGCCCCTTTCCCCGCGCACCCGTCACGCACACGCACAAGCCCTTCAGCACCAGGCTCACCGACAGGGCCTGGTGGCGGCGCTGACCGCCGAGTGCAGGTGTGGCCACGTGAGGAGCCCGCAAGCCCGCGCTCCTACGCCCCACCCCGGCCCCTTCTGCTGACAGAGACGCTCCCGGCCCTTCGACCCCGCCGGCGTCTCAGGCGCTTGGGGTCCGGACGGGGTCGCGGGGCCTCCTGCCCACCGCCGGGCTGTAGCGGTCTGGCCCTCGCCCAGCTTCCTGCGGCTCACCCACCGCTCCCTTGTTGCGTTGCGCTGGACCCAGGAGAGCGCATCGGCCCCCACGCAGGCCGCAGGCAAACACGCAAGGAGAAGGCGGCAGCGCACCGAGGCACCAGGCGGCAGAAGGCATGCGCAGAAGGCCCGCGCGCAGAGTCGGCCCCAGACGTCGAAACTACATTTCCCTGAAGCCTCCGTGACCAGCCCTTTGTGAGCCTGGGGGTCTGAGAAGGTGCTCTTCAGCCAGCCGGAGCCCTCGGCTGCGCCCTCCGCCGCCCTCGGCTGCGCCCTCCGTCAGGGGCTCCTCGAAAGTTAACGAGTACAGCTGGTTTATGTGTGCGGTCCGTGTGCAGTTTAGACACACATCTGCCAAGGAAAGGAGAGCTGCGTGTCAATTTCGCTTCGTAAATACTAGGTAATAGATTCTAGCAAAAAATGAAAGAATAATATTTGAGGCCGTCAGTGATTCAGGAAGAAAAAAGAGGCGAGGCAAGAAAACTAGTACTCTTGATGAGTGGAGTGGCATGAGGGAAGGAATTGATAGTGCCCATATTTAAATTTAATCTATTACATTTTATTATAGAAAAAATAAACATCTTAGTTCCAGTTTTAAAAAAGAACATCCAAAGCAAATACACTAGGAAATTATATTTTTACTATTTGAAAGAAAGATTTATTAATTAACTTATAAGGAGCTCTTAAAATCAATGGAAAAAAATCTTTAAATGGGCTAAAAAACTGAACAGTAATTTAAAAATCATAATCACAAAGCAATAAGCGAAAATTGTAAATCAGAAACTACACACAATTCAAAAGAGAATAAATACATTATTTACTCTGTGACATTAAAAATATTTGAAAAATGGAGATGCATCCTTTCATAGACTCAATATTCTTTGACAAAATTTCGATAAGAATCTCAACAAATTTTTGTATGCATTTTTTTCTCTTTGATTTTTAATATATTATGTACTTGACAAAACATTCTCAACTTCATCCAGAATAAACAAAACCTAAATTAAAAAGAAGCTTTTTAAACAGAGTAATAACTAAGAAATATCAACATGTATAATATTGCTCTATTATTCAAAATAGTTTGGCAACTGTTTCATCAAAGTACCCCAAAAACCCACTACACTCTAGTCGAAGTTGCAACTCATAGCTGCCCTATAGGACAGACTAGAACTGCCCCGTAGCGTTTCCAAGGCTATACATCTTTGTGGAAGCAGACTGCCACATCTTTTTCCCGGGGAGCAGCTGGTGGGTTCCAGCTGAACTGCCTTTCCTTAGTCAAGCACCTTGGCCACTGTGTCACCCGGGCTCCTCATCAAACTACAGACCCATGATTAAGAGTATTTTTTAAATTAAACAAACTCAAGAAGAAAAGTGGAAGCCGCCACACTTCCTAAAGAGTAGCCTACAACTTCTATCATATTCTACTAACCAAAGCAAGTCCCAAGGCCAGCCCAGATTCAAAAGGGTGGGAAATAAAACCCACTTCTTGATGAATGGAGTGGCACGAGGGAAGGAAATTGATAGTGCCCATCTTTAAATTTAATTATTTTCTTTTTAATTTTTAAATTTAATCTATTACATTTTATTATAGAAAAAATAAACTTCTCAGTTCCAGTTTTAAAAAAGAACATCCAAAGCAAATAAACCATTAAATTATATTTTTACTATTTGGAAGAAAAAATTATTAATTACAAGGAGCTCTTAAAATCAATAGAAAGCAAATCTTTAAATGGGCTAAAAAACTGAACAGTAATTTAATTAAAAAATGCAAATGTGTAAAAATGTATGAAAAATCTATTATGAGAATTGAAAAAAATTAAAACATTTAAGGAAAAGCATCTAAGTAAGATACCATTTATTGAGATTTAATTTTTCTAATTTACATACAGCAACTCTTTTTGGTGCACACTTTATATGAGTTTTGACAACTACATAGATTTGTGTAACCACCACCCCAATCAAGATACAGAACAGTTCCATCACAGCCAAAAAAATCATGCTACCCATTTGAAGTCAACTCTCTCGTCACTCTTAACCTCTAGCAACCAACGATCTCTTCTCTGTGCCTGTAGGTTTACCTTTTCCAGAGTATCATATAAATGTGTTTGAGGAATGCTCTGCCTCTGTACTTCACATCCAGGCTACCTGAGTAAAGGCCTTGGGCCCAGAACATTGCATGATCAAGGAGGCTGAAAATGAGATCACTGTCTCTCCCCCAGTTTCTTCTTCTTATCAGAGAAGCCTTCCCCCTGTTTTGGGGCATAAAGTAACTTTCTCTGTCTCTTGCACATGTGCGGGCACCATATGGCACATGGCCACCCTCAATTCTATACCTGTTTCTGGTGGGGAGGGAAAGGGGTGAACATAGAACATCTGCCCTGCACTGTCCATATGTGGGATGAGCCTTCTGGCTGTGGGAGATCAGTGCACACTAGTGAAGATGATCTTGGCTCTCTTTCTACGTGAGTAAAACGTTTCCCATGCACTGTTAGAGTGTGTGTGTGTGTGTGTGTGTGTGTGTGTGTGGTCTTGCTGGCGATTGTGAACACGGCCTCGACAAAATGGAATCATACAGTATGTAGTCATTGGAATCTGGTACCTTCTACTTAGCACAATGCATTCGAGATTCATCCATGATGTTTCATTTATCAATACTCTCATTCGTTTTTATTGCTGAGTCCAGTTCCATGATATGAATGATATGTAGTAATAGAGTTTGCTTATTCATTCTCCAGTTGAAAGACATTTGCGTTATTCCCAATTTGGGGGAAATTGGAATCGACTCTATGGAAATTGGCTTTAAAAAAAAGAATATCACTTTGAAATATAAGAATGGAAAATATTAAAAAGAAGAGTAATATAAAGCTATGGTAAGGGCTTGGGAAAATGTTTATTCCCATTCACTGTTATTGTGAGTGTAATTCATGTAAACTCTGTGGAGGCTCTATTTTTTGTTTTTTAATTTGACAATATATTTTTTTATTGTACTTTAAATGAAGGTTTACAGAACCAATAGTTTCTCATTAAACAGTACACATATTGTTTTATGACATTGGTTAACAACCCTATGACATGTCAACACTGTCCCTTCTCAACCTTGAGTTCCCTATTACCAGCTTTCCTGTCTCCTCCTGCCTTCTAGGCCTTGTCCCTGGGCTGTTGTGCCCCATTAGTCTCATTTTGTTTTATGGGGCTGTCTAATCTTTGGCTGGATGGTGAACTTTGGGAGTGACTTCATTACTGAGCTAAAAGGGTGACTGGGAGCCATACTCTCGGGGTTTCTCCAGTCTCTGTCAGGCCAGTAAGTCTGGTCTTTTTTTGTGAGTTAGAATTTTGTTTTACATTTGTCTCCAGCTTTGTCTGGGACTCTCTTTTGTGACCCCTGTCAGAGCAGTCAGTGGTGGTAGCTGGGCACCATCTAGTTGTACTGGACTCAATCTGGTGGAGGCCATGGTAGTTGTGGTCCATTAGTCCTTTGGACTAATCTTTCCGTTGTATCTTGTTTTCTTCATTCTTCCATGCACAAGAAGGGGTGAGACAAGTGGACTGTCTTAGATGGCAGCTCACAGGCTTTTTAAGACCCCAGAAACTACTCACCAAGGTAGAATGTAGAACATTTTCTTTATAAACTATGTTATGCCAGTTGAGCTAGATGTTCCCGAGACCATGGTCCCCACAGCCCTCCGCCCAGGAATTCAGTTCCTCAGGGAGTTTGGGTTTGTCTATGGAGCTTCCATGACCTTTCCTTGTACAAGCTGTGCTGGCTTCCCTAGTACTGTGTACTGTCTTACCCTTTACGAAAGTTACCACTTACCTATTGTCTATTTAGTTCCCCCCCCACCCCTCCCATCCCTCATAACAACAAAGATTGTTTTTTTTGTATGTAAACTTTTTCATGAGTTTTTACAGTAGAGGTCTTATACAATATTCGTCGTTTTGTGATTGACTTATTTCACTCAGCATAACGTCCTCCAGTTTCCTCCATGTTATGAGATGCTTCACAGATTCATCATTGTTCTTTATCATTATGTAATACTCCATTGTGTGTATGTACCATAGTTTGTTTATCCAT